TTGGTGCGGGGCCCGGCGTTTCATACTACATAAACAATGCTGATTAGTCATCTTGGCCGAGGCGACTTCTCATTGTTCACATATTTCCTTCAATCTGTTTTTTCAGAGGCCGCGTCTTAGGCGAGCGCGGTCATGGAGGCGGAGGAAGGAAGCTCACTCCTATTTCCTTCACAGTTCCATTAAATTCGATGGGTCTATGAGCGAGCCGCATTATTTTCCTTTCCTTGTCGGCCATGTTTACTTAATCGCGGCGAGGAATGCGCCTATTTGTGTGTCGCTGCGTTGATATATCGCCGCATTGTCTTGGGGGGGTCCCGGCTGGACTATTAAAGGAAGGGAATGCGCGGGGCGGAAGCGGCTGGACGGAGAGCTATTGTGATCGCTCACAGATTACACAGAAAGGGAACAAATCTGTTCAGTACCTTCCAGTACAATGGGAAATTCTGCTGGTTTACAGGTCTGGCACTTGGACCCTGGAGACGCCATGTTTTAGGCACTCAGACATTTTTTTACCAATCTAAAGATCTTTAATGGGCCTATAATGTACTCACCAACCTGTGCTGCATACAGGGAGGGTAACAGACAAAAATCTGCCTTGCCAGGCAGTATTATATGTACATATGCCACACACCAACAATCCACCACTATCATTGGTGTCAGTGAGAGGAAGTGTACCCCTTTACTGGTGTCAGTGGGAGGAACAGTGCCCCACCATTGGAAGGAGTAGTGCCCCATCATTGGTGTCAGTGGGAGGAATAGTGCCCCATCATTGGTGTCAGTGGGAGGAGTAGTGCCCCATCATTGGTGTCAGTGGGAGGAATAGTGCCCCATCATTGGTGTCAGTGGGAGGAATAGTGCCCCATCATTGGTGTCAGTGGAGGAATAGTGCCCCATCATTGGTGTCAGTGGGAGGAATAGTGTGCCATCATTGGTGTCAGTGGGAGGAATAGTGCCCCATCATTGGTGTCAGTGGGAGGAATAACGGCCCATCATTGGTATCAGTGGGAGGAATAGTGCCCCATCATTGGTGTCAGTGGGAAGAATAGTGCTCCATCATTAGTATCAGTGGGAGGAATAGTGCCCCATCATTGGTGTCAGTGGGAGGAATAGTGCCCCATCATTGGTGTCAGTGGGAGGAATAGTGCCCCCCATCATTAGTATCAGTGGGAGGAATAGTGCCCCATCATTGGTGTCAGTGGGAGGAATAGTGCCCCATCATTGGTGTCAGTGGGAGGAATAGTGCCCCATCATTGGTGTCAGTGGGAGGAATAGTGCCCCATCATTGGTGTCAGTGGGAGGGAATAGTGCCCCATCATTGGTGTCAGTGGGAGGAATAGTGCCCCATCATTGGTGTCAGTGGGAGGAATAGTGCCCCATCATTGGTGTCAGTGGGAGTAGTGCCCCATCATTGGTGTCAGTGGGAGGAATAACGGCCCATCATTGGTATCAGTGGGAGGAATAGTGCCCCATCATTGGTGTCAGTGGGAAGAATAGTGCCCCATCATTGGTGTCAGTGGGAGGAATAGTGCCCCATCATTGGGTATCAGTGGGAGGAATAGTGCCCCATCATTGGTATCAGTGGGAGGAATAGTGCCCCATCATTGGTGTCAGTTGGAGGAATAGTGCCCCATCATTGGTGTCAGTCAGTGGAAGAATAGTGCCCCATCATTGGTGTCAGTGGGAAGAATAGTGCCCCATCATTGGTGTCAGTGGGAGGAATAGTGCCCCATCATTGGTGTGCCCCAGTGGGAGGAATAGTGCCCCATCATTGGTATCTATAGGAGGCATGGTGTCCTGTTGTTGGTGTCAGTGGGAGGACTATGCCCTCCTGTTGCTAACAATGGAGGAAGTAATGTTCCAAGGGCCTGATAAAATCAAACAGCCACATCCAGCCCCGGGCCGCAGCTTGGAGAGCATGGATCTAATAGATCTCGGAACATTTTGGATTTATTGTATAGGAATCCTCAGAACCAATCATCTCCCGGAACGGTTACACGATTACTAAAAATCTGTTACAAATAAAGTTTGAGATATTTTGCAACAAGTGAAGAGGCAGCCGATGATCTCAGCACAAGACACAGGAAGGCGACGTTCACACCAGTGTTGTCAGCTGGAGGCAGACAGGCGTTTGGGAAGGGTTTTTAATGCTTCCCAAACGCCTCTGAAAATTCTGCACATTGCAGCACATGGTGCTGTTCACACAGAGCGTTAGCGTCGCGGCAAAACGGACGCCTCTGGTCAAGTCTATGGTGCCGCTCCACAAACGCCTGGCTGGCAAGAGTCAGGGCTCATTCACACTTGACTTTATTTCTAACTCTTGCCAAATGCCCAGATAGCGTTTGACAAGTGTTGGACAGGCGTTTGGAAGGTGTTTTTAAGCTCCAAAAACGTCTATGCGCAGTTTTGCGGCAGTTGGTAGGTATTTGCCAAGCGTTAAAAACGCACCACAAAAGCCTATAATGAAGTTTAAATAGTGATAACGCTCCGCAAATGCCTCGCAAACTGCGTCGCAAACGCAAACGCCTGGACAGGCGTTTGCAGAGCGACACCATAGACTTGAATGGGAGGCTTCAACTCCTCCTGACTGGACCAGAGGCGTCCGTTGCGACGCTAATGCTTCCGTGTGAACAGCACTGTGTGCTGCAATGTGCAGAATGAATTTTCAGAGGCGTTTGAGAAGCGTTACAAACACTTTCCAAACGCCTGTCTGCCGCCAGCTGACAGCTCATGTGAACGCAGCCTAACATAGTCAGCTAGAGGCGGTCCAGTGACACCCAGCCCCACCTGATGGGAATATATAACCTCCCAGTAGTCAGGTGCAGGAGATCTGTCATTAGAGATGCTGGGGACACCTGCTGGTGACATTTGGAATTACACCCAGACAGAGCACTAGGTGCAGCTTTCAATGGAACTATTCCAGGCTAAACATGAACCTGAACAGGACGGGAATACAAACCAATAAAAATGTATTCCAGAAAACATAAAAAACGTTCCGCCCTGTCAGACCTCGGCGTCCATTGCCTTCACATTCCGGCGTCCATTGCCTTCACATCCGGCGTCCATTGCCTTCACATCCGGCGTCCATTGCCTTCACATTCGGCGTCCATTGCCTTCACATCCGGCGTCCATTGCCTTCACATCCGGCGTCCATTGCCTTCACATTCGGCGTCCATTGCCTTCACATCCGGCGTCCATTGCCTTCACATCCGGCGTCCATTGCCTTCACATCCGGCGTCCATTGCCTTCACATTCGGCGTCCATTGCCTTCACATCCGGCGTCCATTGCCTTCACATTCGGCGTCCATTGCCTTCACATTCGGCGTCCATTGCCTTCACATCCGGCGTCCATTGCCTTCACATCGGCGTCCATTGCCTTCACATCCGGCGTCCATTGCCTTCACATTCGGCGTCCATTGCCTTCACATCCGGCGTCCATTGCCTTCACATTCGGCGTCCATTGCCTTCACATTCGGCGTCCATTGCCTTCACATTCGGCGTCCATTGCCTTCACATTCGGCGTCCATTGCCTTCACATGGCTCCTTTGCTTCACATTCGGCGTCCATTGCCTTCACATCGGCATGTCCATTGGCCTTCACATTGCCTTCACTTCGGTCCATTGCCTTCACATTCGGCGTCCATTGCCTTCACATTCGGCGTCCATTGCCTTCACATTCGGCGTCCATTGCCTTCACATCCGACGTCCATTGCCTTCACATTCGGCGTCCATTGCCTTCACATCACATTCGGCCGCGTCCATTGCCTTCACATCCGGCGTCCATTGCCTTCACACATTCGGCGTCCATTGCCTTCACATCCGGCGTCCATTGCCTTCATTCTGTGTCCATTGCCTTCACATCCGGCGTCCATTGCCTTCACATTCTGTGTCCATTGCCTTACACATGCCGTGTCCATTGCCTTCACATTCGGCGTCCATTGCCTTCACATTCCGTGTCCATTGCCTTCACATTCGGCGTCCATTGCCTTCACATTCCCGTCCATTGCCTTCACATCCGGCGTCCATTGCCTTCACATTCCGTGTCCATTGCCTTCACATTCGGCGTCCATTGCCTTCACATTCGGCGTCCATTGCCTTCACATTCCGCGTCCATTGCCTTCACTCCGGCGTCCATTGCCTTCACATTCCGTGTCCATTGCCTTCACATTCGGCGTCCATTGCCTCTCACATTCGGCGTTCCCTGGTTTGCCTTCACATTCCGTGTCCATTGCCTTCACATTCAGTCCATTGCCTTCACATTCGGCGTCCATTGCCTTCAAGTCCACACACGCAGTACCATGAACGTTTATCACACATTGGAAGTAGGACTTTATGACACAAATGGGGGACAGGAAGGGTTTTTAATGCATTAGAGAGATGCTTTGTCTTTCTGCATTCAGTTTGGGGTGCGCTGCTCACATGTACATTGGGGTCACATTGCCTTAGTGCATTAGGCTGCCAATCAAACGCACAGCAAAGCAGGGCTGGATCTAGGGGGGCGCTGGGGTATGCTGTGCCCACCATGGTTTTAGCTGTGCCCACCCAGGTCTCTGAAAGTGCGTCCCCTAATGCATGAGGCAGCCTGATGCAGACATTTGATGTAAGGAAACACTCTGATGGTAACAATCCATGTAAGGGGGGCACACTGATGGACACCTGATATAAGGGGGCACTCTGATGGGGACTCTGATTGAGATGATCATATGTAAAGGGCCACTCTGTTGGGCACACCTGATGTAAGGGGGCACTCTGATGGGGACTCTGATGTAAAAGGGCACTCTGGTGGGACACCTGATATAAGGGAGCACTCTGATAGGGACTCTGATGTAAGGGGGCACTCTAATGGGGGCTCTGATGTAAGGGGGCACTCTAATGGGGACCCAGATGTAAGGGGGTACTCTGTGGGGGGACACCTGATGTAAGGGGGCGCTCTGTTGGAGACACCTGATGTAAGGGGGCACTCTGATAGGACACCTGATGTAAGGGGGCACTCTGATAGGACACCTGATGTAAGGGGGCACTCTGGTGGGGACCCTGATGTAAGGGGGCACTCTGTTGGGGACACCTGATGTAAGGGGGCACTCTGATGGGGACCGCGGATGGGGTCCCTGATGTAATGGGGCACTCTGCGGGGGACAATTGATGTAAGGGGGAACTCTGATGGATGCACTCTGATTGGACACCTGATGTAAGGGGGGGCACTCTGGTGTGGACTCTGATGTAATGGGGCATTCTGTTGGGGACACCTGATGTAAGGGGGCACTCTGATATAACACCTGATGTAAGGGGGCACTCTGATATAACACCTGATGTAAGGGGGCACTCTGATGGGGACCTTGATGTAAGGGGGCACTCTGTTGGGGACCCTGATGTAAAGGGGTACTCTGGTACTCTCACAGGGGCCCCCTGGCAATAGGGGATCATGGGGCCCCTGTGTCCTTGCCCAAACTCAAGCCTATGAAAAAGGTACCAAGGGCATCTCTGGGGCCCCCTACTGACCCCGGGCCCTCCGGCAGTGCCTGAGTTTCCAAATGGTCAGCCCGCCCCTGGGTGCAGCCTGAGGTTGCCTTCACAACTGAGCGATTTGTAGCTTGCAGCTCCAAAAACGCTCAAATGTAAAAAAAAAAAAACCAATTGTTCCCCATGGAGCCTGTGTGTGCGATCAGGTGTGAATGGGCACCATAGAGAACAACTGATTTTTTTTTTGCGCTTGAGTGTTTTTTGGAGCTTTAAGCAACAAATCGCTCAACTGTGAATGCAGCCTTAGCCCTGGTTCACACCGGCGCGATTTCAGGTGCGATTTGGGAATTGAAATCGTACCTGAAATCGGATCTAATGAATGTGAGTGTCAGTGTCTTATCATACGCGATTTGCTGCAGCGCCATTTCAAAAGTAGTTCTTGTATGACTTTTTCTGCAGTTTGTTTCACATACATAGACTACAATACAAATCGCACTGCAAAACGCAATGGAAAACGCAAGAAATTGTTGGAAAATTTTCACAAGTTGCTAACAAATCTTCAGAAAATGCAGTGAAATCGCAAACAAAATGCGCGATTTTAAATGGCATCCAGTGTGAACCAAGCCTAAAGTGCAGGTAGAGATGTAATCCCATCACCCCACCAACACCAGGAGGAACAAATTACCAGATTAATTGAGAGAACTCACATCCTGCACACGGCTTGTACAAAAACATTTAAAGGAAAGGTTCACCTTTTCTAAAAAAAAAAAAAAAAAAAAATGCACGTCTTTTTTGCAAGTACACAAATGTGCATTTATTATTTTTGTTATTGGGATCCGCCAAAGCATTGCACCCAGGATCAGCAGATTATACAGGACTCTCGCAGACTCATCAGCGCTCTGGTAGTTCAATGAGAACTACAAGCAAACTACAAAACTCTGTGAATGAGTGGCGCAGGCGGGCGCGCAGGCGGGCACGCAGGCGGTGCGGGTGCGCAGGGGGCGCGGGAGTGAGCGGGCGTGCAGGCGGGCGTGCAGGGCGGGTGCGCAGGGGGCGCGGGAGTGAGCGGGCGCGCAGGCGGGCGTGCAGGCAGGGGGTGCGCAGGGGGCGCGGGAGCGAGCGGGCATGCAGGCGGGCGTGCAGGCGGGTGCGCAGGGGGTGCGGGAGCAAGCGGGCGTGCAGGCGGGTGCGCAGGGGGCGCGGGAGCGAGCGGGGCGTGCAGGCGGGCGTGCAGGCGGGTGCGCAGGGGTGCGGGAGCGAGCGGGGCGTGCAGGCGGGCGTGCAGGCGGGTGCGCAGGGGGAGCAGGCGCGCAGGCGGGTGCGCAGGGGGCGGAGTACATTAATATGGAATGAAGTATGTCAATATAAGCAGACCAGTAATGGACTTTCTGTCATTGTAGGAAAACCCCAACATCAACAACGTCACATAGGGATGAAGGATAATCGGGGACGACACGGATCGAAGGAAATCCTCCTTATCAAGGTAAACACATGGACATGGCACCCCAATATCCAAATACCAGCTTTGAAACCACTGAAGAGTCCGGCATCTGGCCCCCCGTTTTACAGCCAGTCGATTGATCTGCATCACAAGGCAATGTGGTGGACTTTCCATCCCAACCACGGAGAAGGAATCCATGTTTCTATGTTTACAAGAGACCCATGTAAATATTAAAGACTGCTATGGGTGGGGAGGCCTTATAGCACATCTCAGTCCTCCAGTTTTTGAGGTTTGGGGGCCACAGCTGCTTCAAGGGGGACCCGGAAATCATTTACAGGCAATCCCCGATGGCTGAGAATCACTGTGTGCCGGCACTCTGCTAAGGGCATTACAGAGGCGTCTACAAGGAATATATCCTGGAACTGCTGCACAGGGACACAACTCCATGATATATATATATATATTTTTTTTTTCAATTGTTAGCCCATATGGGAAATTTGTCTCCTCTCCCCTCCCCCATTGTGTCGTTTCAATATGTCCGACTTCAGCTTTACCATTGTGCCCCTTTATATATAGAAAGAAACCAAGAGCACTGGAATCTGCATTATTTTATATTGGCTTGTTGTAAATAAAGATTTTATACCAAGAGACCCCTCTGTGTGCTGATTAGGTGGTACGAACCATACTGTATATAATACGACAATTAGGGATGCGGTTCCTGGTTTGCCTCTATCGCGGGTTTGCGGCGGATCCAGCATGCGGTGCTGACAAATGAACGCTGAAAATCACCAGACCAAAATAATTTCACTTCTTTTCTGTTCTTTGGGGTCTTTCGACTCTGAACCTCGAGCCTTGGCCAAACTGCCCACTGACACCACGTTGTCTAGATGACAAGCACGAGCCTAAATGTAGAGGCGAAATACACATGTTGAGGCGGAAGGCACACGGAGTTCCATCAAAAAACAAAATGAGAGCTTCAGTTTTTGGTGATGGATCGTATGATTTGTTGGCAATGGAGAAGGAAGAGGAGAAGAACCAAGAGAAGGAAATGTTGGCAGAAGACGCAACATGGAAAAGTGATTTGTGTTTTCTTAGATAAAAGTATATAATATAAATGTCTTGATTTTATCAGTAACATGTGCAGAGGGGGGTTGGCAGCCCTCTGTGATCCAGGTTTCATTCATTTCATTTTGGGTCCTTTCACCCGTTTAGTGGATTCGCTTGATCAGCAGGGGATCTCTCCGATGGCCCCCCTTGAGCAAAGGGATCTCTCCGATGATCCCCACTGAGCAAGGGATTGACAGCTCTGTGTCTGCTCCGCTGCAGCAGAGCGGACACAGAGCCAGGGCAGCTGTTAGAAACCACTGGGCCCCATACAGCCAACCTTACAGCCCCCACCCAAAAAAAAAAGTTTACAATGCTTCAGTTATGAATGAACACAGTGAGTGATCAGTACCAATCACTCATTGTGTTCATTCAGGAAAGAAAGGGGCTGGTAAATGTGACATGTTTACCAGACCTTTCCCACACTCTACATCCTGCAGGATCCGATTGTGTGCTTGCAGCTGCCAGTGGGAAGGAGGAGTAAGAAGCCGGCAGCACTGCGGGGGTGGGGGAACACAGGGGGGCCTAGCCAGTGATGGGTGCAAGGGGAGGGGCAATTACTGGAACCAATGCCCTGTATGGTTCTCTCTCTCAGCTGCTGCAGAGAGAGCCACACAGAGGATTGGTTACAGTAAATGCCCCCCCCCCTCCCCTGCACTAGCTGATCACCATCCCTGCCCACTTCCAATGTACTCATCTGCATGGGCCCCCCTGCTGGATTGGGCCCTGTACAGGAGGACTGGTGGTACCCCCTTAGCCATGGCACTGCACAGAGCTGCTTGTTCTCCTCGATGGGCGGTCAGATGAAAATGGACCGCCTGCCTGTTTTCATCCGACGGACAGAAGGGGAATTGGATACCCAACGGTCCCCTTTTCGGTGGATCGGATCGGACGTCGGCGGGTGTAAACGGACACATGTCCATTTAAACCTGCTGCTCCATAGAGGAGAATGGAGATTCCTATTAGGTCCGCCTGAAAAAACGGCAGACGGACCTGATTGTAATGTTCTTGTGAAACAGTGCTAAAACTCAGCTTCCCAATCACAAATACCCCTACCCCCGCACCCCCTACCACAGATCACAGATACATGCAGTACCTCCAGCAAATACTAGGCCACCTTCAGCTAGTGGTTCATTCTTGACACCCCATAGTCCATTAAATACAGGGGTTAGACAAAAAAATGGAAACACAACATGACTTGCAGGTGTGAAAGTGACGACATGTTTGGCAGTGAAAGCAGAAGTGATTCTTTTATATCTGCTGTGTGATGAGACACCTGGCTAACAGACGGGAAGCCTGACTTTCCTCATTCACTGCATGTACTGCTTACTGAGCTTCAAAGAGGGCAAATTGTTGGTGCTGCTCAGCTGGTACCTCTGTAACTGAAGTCGCCAATTTATTTGGTGAGGTACAGGATCAAAGGTTATGGCGGCGTATACAGTTTCTGGGAAAATGTCGTCTGATCAGCATAAGCGTGGTCCGCATGGTCATCTGACCGAAAGAGACAAAAGGACGTTGCGCAGGATCGTGACTCAGGATAAGAAAACAAAGGCTGAAAAAGCAATACTGTATATGTAAAGCTCTGAGGAAATTCTTTTTCCTGGCCAGCCTCACGTCAGCACACCTCGGAGGAGGAGTGAACCCAAGCTGTGCTGACGTGAGGACCAGCCCAGGAAATTACGGTAAGTATTGCTAACAATTTTCTGTTTCTTTTTTCTGGTTTCTAATTATTTTATGTAAGGATGTCCCTGCCTTGGTCAAGCAAACGTGGGCAGGGACGGCAAGGATGACCATGTTTGCTTGACCAGGGCAGGGACAGCCTCACAAAAATAATTAGAAATAAGAAAAAAGAAAAGATCTGTAAATCTGGCCAAGAATGATTGTCTCTTTTTTTGGGTTTAGTCAGCGGGCTGAACGAAAAAATACAAACTAATTCCTCCATCCACACAACTGAGGTGGACGCTGCCACTGGACATTGTGTTCACTGAGAGAGAAACTTTATCCAACAAGCCTGTTTGACAGAAGTGTAATTTATTACTGGTTTTTATATAGTGCTCGACTATTTCTGTAACACTTGACATATATTGTACATTCACATCAGTCTCCACCCTCAAAGGAGCGTACAATCTAGGGTCCCTAACTCATATACACATAGTAGGTCCAATTTAGACAGGAGCCAATTAAACTACCAGCATGTCTTTGGTGTGTGGAAGGAAACACACACAAGGAGAACATACAAACTCATGCTAGGGTTTCAAACCTAGTGCTGCCCAGGCAAAAATGCTAAACCACTGCGGCACACTGTGCTGCCAGTATTGCTAGATTAACTTCTGTTGAGTGGAGGTGGCTACACATGGATCAAAATTCAGCCCGTCCCCTGATAAAATGGCAGAATTTTGATTCATCCATGGCCAGCTTTGGTAACGTTTAACAAAAAATACAAATAAAAAAAAGTGATGATGTTTGGGAAAATGTTTAATGTGGGACTGCCAAGGCATGACCCAAAGGAAGGGGGTGTTTTTGCCAGCTGGTATGGTAGTTGTTGAAGTGTCACGCAAGCAGGTTACATTGGTGGACAGTGGAAGAGTGTCCCTTACATTGGGGTCAGTGGGAAGAATGTTCCCTTATATTGGGGGTCAGTGGGAAGAATGGCCCCTTACATTGGGGGTCAGTGGGAGAGAATGCCCCTTACATTGGGGTCAGTGGGAAGAACGTCCCTTATATTGGGGGTCAGTGGGAAGAATGCCCCTTTACATTGGGGGTCAGTGGGAAGAATGCCCCATACATTGGGGGTCAGTGGGAAGAGAACGTCCCTTATATTGGGGGTCAGTGGGAAGAATGTCCCTTACATTGGTCGGTCATGGAAAGAATGTCCCTTACATTGGAGGTCAGTGGGAAGAATGTCCCCATTACATTGGGGATCGAGTGGGAAGAATGTCCCTTACATGGGGGGTCAGTGGGAAGAATGAAGTCCCCTTACATTGGGGGTCAGTGGGAAGAATGTCCCTTACAGTGGGGATCAGTGGGGGAAGAAAGTGTCCTTACATGGTGCATCGTGGGAATTAATGTCCCCTTACATTGGGGTCAGTGGAAGAATGTATGTCCCTTACATTGGAGGTCAGTGGAAGAATGTCCCTTACACATTGGTGATCATAGGAAAGAATGTCCCTCTACATTGGTAGGTCAGTCAGGAAAATGTCCCTTACATTGGTGAATCAGTGGAGAAGAATGTCCCTTACATTGGAGATCCCCAAAGTAGGAAGGAGAATGTCCCTTACATTGGTGGTCAGTGGGAAGAATGTCCCCTTACATTGGGGGGCCGGTCGAGTGGGATAGAATGTCCATTACCATTGGAGGTCAGTGGGAAGAAAGAAGTGTCCCTTACATTGGTGGTTCAGTGGCAAGAATGTCCCTTACATTGGTTGTCTCAGTGGGACAGAATGTCCCTTACATTGGGGTCAGTGGGAAGAATGGTCCCTTACATTGGTGGCCAGTGGAAGAAAGTCCCATAAATTGGTGGTCAGTGGAAGAAGAACTGTCCCTTACATTGGTGTCAGTAGGAAGAATGTCCCTTCATTGCGTGGTTCAGTGGAGAACTGTCCCTTACATTGGCGGGCGTCAGTGGGCAAGAACGTCTCCATACATTGGAGGTCAGTCGGGAAGAATGGTCCCCTTAACATTGGAGATCCAAGTAGAGAAGAATGGTCCCTTACATTGGAGGTCAGTGAGAAGAATGTCCCTTACATTGGAGGTCAGTGGGAGAATGTCCCTACTTTGGTGATTCAGTGGGAGCAATGTCCTTGAACATTGGGTGGTCAGTGGGTAAGAATTGTCCCTTACATTGGGGAACGTCAGGTGGGAAAAGAATGTCCCTTCCATTGGCGGGTCAGTGGAGAGAATGTCCCCTTACATTAGGCTGTTGATCAGTGGGATGGAATTGTTCCCTTACATCGGAGGTCAGTGAAGAAGAAAGTACCCGCTTACATTGGTGCGTCAGTGGGAAGACGACATTGGTCCCTTACATTGGTGATCAGTGGGAAGAGATGTTTCCGTGTACATTGGTGATTCAGTGGGAAGGAACTGTCCCCTTACATTGGTGATCAGTGGGAAGATAATGTTCCCTTAATTGGGGCGAGGGAAGTGGGTTGTTAAGATACAGGACTGGGCGTGGTCAAGTGGGAAGTATGTCCCTGTACATTGCGTGGTCAAGTGGGAAGAAGGGTGCACCGTATGTGGGGCGGAATGTGAGTAGATGGTAAATGACTTGGGTCGGGTCAGTGGGCAGAACTGTTCCCTTACATAGGGGGTCAGTGGGAAGGATAGTCCCCTTACATTGGGGCGTGCAGTGGGAAGAAATTGTTCCTTACTCATCTGGGGGATGCTAAAGTGAGGTAAGAATGCTCCTTACATTTGGGGGTCAGTGGGAAGATACTGTCCCTTACATTGGTGATCAGTGGGAAGAAATGTCCCTTAACAATCTGGTGATCAGTGGGAAGAATTGTTCCCTTACATTGAGGGGTCAGTGGGAAAGAATGCTCCCCTTACTTTGGTGGGTCAGTGGGAAGACTGTCCCATACATTGGGTGGTCAGTGGGTATGAATGATCCTATACATTGGGTTGGTCAGTGGGGAAGAATGTCCACTTACATTGGTGATCAGTGGGAAGAATGTTCGTACATTGGGGGTCAGTGGCAAGAATGTACTCTCTCCAATGGTGAGTCAGTGGTGGAAGAGAATGACTCCTTACGTTGATGGTTAGTGGAAATATTACGTGACAATGTGAATAAGAAAAGCTCAACTGGTCCCACGGACCACTGGCTCTGCTAAGTGGGACTTAGCGTGGCTCCCAGGACTTTGCATGCAGCCAGCAGGAAAGGAAATTAACTCACTACCAAACTGGATCATGGGAAAACCTCTAACATCTCATTTGGGGGAATCCTGGTTGATAATGGCTCGTATAGACTAGATATTTTTACATAATACAATTGACACCCACATATTTTACATCATCCAAGAAAAGTACATATCACGTGAATTTGGTACCAATTACGCAATAGGAACTAAACACTTTAATGTCACACATCTCAAGTCATCCATGGCTTCCCCAAACACCTGGAGGAAAAAATGGCAAAAAAGATGTTTTATTGGTAGGATTTTAATCTTTTTTGATACTGTAATATTTAAATAGCATAGTTCTAGTTCTTGTATTTGTTATATGTTGAGTGGTTTTTGAGGATTTCGGTTATCTGAAGGGCAAACCAGACAAAATGTTTAGCCATCAAACCAATAAAGTCCTACAAGACGATGTTTCCCATACTGGGAGTTCGGTGGTAGGCAAACTTATGCTTATATAGGAATGATCCATCCATATTTTAGGAGGAGAACTGAGACTGTTAAAGCTGGTTGGGGTGTAGGTAAGTCTACATCTCCCCAATACAAGCACACCCGCGATGACAACTCACCTGTCCTTATCAAGGCCACCATGATCACAAGGGTCAAAACCAAGAGATTTAGGAAAATCAGAAGGCGCATCCATAGGATTAAACCAGTGTGAATGTTGGTTTCTGCTGATAAAAAGAGAAAAATGACTAACATTCTAAGAGAATAATCCTAAATTTCATTCATAATAACCTGATAATGACAGGGCAAATAGACTTCAAACTGGAACAACTGAAGGTCCCCTTGAAGATTAGCTGTGACCACTCATCGAATACTGCCCCAGTCAGGTCATTTACTTTAATGTTCAAATTTTGAATAGATAATAATTCCATCTTTGCCTATGTCCAGGTTTATTTGTTTTATGTTTTTATGTTTACCCGACTAATCCTAACTGTTTTGCTAAAAAAGAAATCCTATTGTTTACAAAACCCAAATACCTGAATCTCAAATTTTGTATTGTTTTTTTTAATGAGTCAGGTTTTTACTCTATGACCCAGAGGACTAACTCATCCTTCTCCCTTCCCTCATTGGGATCCTAGGAAGCTTTAAATCAAAGGTCGGTGTACGAAAGGAAGCTTCTGTGTTGGGTGACTCTTAACAAATACTTATAAGGAAGTGTCCTTGGTGTAACAGTAACAGGGACGACTGTATACCAGACTTCCTCAACCCTTTTACCTTTAGAGAAACCTTTGAGATAATTTTCAGGTCCTGGGGAACCCTGCGCTAAAACTAATTTATTGGTGATCAGTTGGAAAATGCCCTTAACTTTGGTGACTGGACTGGCTGCTGGGGGGGAAAAAGCTCCATTTGCAATGGTAAGTCAGTATGCCACCTTTACAGAAAGCCAAAATCCATTATTGGTGTCATGCAATTGGTTTTTCACCCTTGGAGTTGACCCTTGAGTTTTTGGGAAACTCTGTGCAAAAATTAGTTCACCGATTCATTGGTGATCCATGGGAAAATGCCCCCCTTAAAGTGGTGATCAGAATCCCACCCTGAGAGGACAGCTAAAACCATTATTGGTGTCTTGCATTTGGCTTTGCCCATTGGCATTGGCCCTGGAACTATGCATTCACCATCGAATGGTTGGTCAGTCAGTCCCAGCTCAAGGAACCCCTACCAAACATTTAGAGGAACCCTGGTTGAGGATGACTGTTGAATACTGATTTGAAAAATAAACACTTTATCTAAATAAAATATTTAAAACTTCAATTTAAAAAACTATAAATGTTGGAGTTTAGAATACAATTAACCTAAAACAGCTACAGATTCTCTTTTGGACTCAATATTCAGATTCTTCCATAAACCCAACTGGGATTTTCAGTGACGGAGTTGGGGTCCCTCACCTCGCTGTGTAAAGGAGAACTCCTTGCTGTAGATGCCTTCAGTGAAGCTGTTGTTGGCTTTACATCTATAGGGCCCGAGACTGGTGTGATCATAGATGGTAATGCTGAACATGGCTCCTCCCTCCTTTGACACGGTCACCTTTCCTTGGCTTTCAGTAAGGGACTGAGTCTGAGAGGAGCACTGGAAGGAGTGGCAACTCAGCTGCTACACTGGCCCCACACACCTGGCATCTTCCTCTGTCCTTTCTTCCTCCCCTCTGCCGTCCCTCCTCTCAACTGAATGATCATTCATGACGTGGCGGCATCCCACACAGAGAGAGTGCCAGTCTGTGCTGCACCCAGGCTCCCCTAGGTGGTAGTGCACCCTAGGCAGCCGCCTAGTTTGCCTAGTGGAAGCACCAGCCCTGCTTGGCGAGGTCCCACACAGAAAGAGTGCCGGCCTATGCCCTGCCCAGGCTCCCCTAGGTGGCAGTCCGCCTAGTTTGCCTAGTGGAAGCACCGGCCCTGGGGATGGCTGCAGAATAATCCTAACTGTTCTGCTCAAAAATGGCTGTTGTTTACAGAACCCAATAGCTGAAGCTCAGATTTATACTAAGTACATTTTTAAACTAAATTACTCTGAGGACTAACCCATCCACGCCCCCCCCCCCCCTCATTTGGGGTCATAGAACAATTTAAAAGGAGAAAGTGTCTGAAAGGAAACAGTTTCTTTGTTGGTGTTTCCTAAGAATACTCATAAGCCATGGTCATGGGTGTACAGTAGATGGACAGTGTAAACCAGCCTTTATCCACCTTAGAGGAACCCTGGAGATCATTTTCAAGTCTTGGGGAATCCTTACTAAAATTAGTTAATTGATCCATGTTGGTCGGTCGGAAGATGCCCCCTTTAAAGTGGTCATCAGAATTCCACCTTTAATTGCAGACATGCATTTGTCTTTGCCCATTGGTGTTGACCCCAGAACTATGTAGGCATGGGAGGTCAATCTGTCACAGCTCAAGGAACCCTCTACCAACCTCTGGAGGAACCCTGGGTGAGGATGTCTGCAGAATTCAGATTCGATTAATAAACACTTTATCTAAATAGTAAAATAAAAACATAAAACATCAATTTAAAAACCTATAAATGTTGGAATTTAGAATACATTTAACCTAAAACTGTTACAGATTTTCTTTAGGACTGAATATTCAGATTCTTTCATAAAGCCAACTAGGATTTTTAGTGACAGAAAAAAAAATCACTTACTAAGACTATTTTGAAGCGT